GAAAGGAGAAAAAATAAAATCTATATCAAATTATGACTTCTGTAGCTACTAAACTGTTGGTCTTCAGTTAGAGATATTTGTCTTCCATTTTTGCTTCTTTACATCTTGAATTGTTAATGTTTATTTTATTTTATTTTCTGATAGAGGGTCCTGGGGTAAAAAGAATACAGTGGCATGATCATGGCTCACTGCAGCCTTGACCTCCCTGGGCTTAGGTGATCCTCACACTTTAGCCCACTGAGAAGCTGGGTCTATAGGCATGTGCCACCACGCCCAGCTAATTTTTTTACTCTTTGTAGAGACAGGGGTCTTACTATGTTGCCCAGATTGGTCTTGAACTCCAAGACACAAGCAATCCTCCAGCCTCGGTCTCCCAAAGTGTTGGGATTACACGTGTGCAACCGCACCTAGCCACATCTTGAATTCTTATCGTAGTTTTCATTTTGCAATTTTTGTTCTGACAACCTAACTGCATATTAGCCCTACCCCCATAAAGATAAAAACTATTTTCTGAAACTCAAGGTCCTTGGATATACCAAAACCCTTAAGTCAGTTTGTGAGCATTTTTTAACCTACAGATGCTTGGGGCCCAGCCTCAAAAATTCCCATTCAGGCCCAGCAAGGTGGCACATGTGTAATCCCAGCACTTTGGGAGGCAAAGGCAGGTGGATCTCTTGTGGCCAGCAGTTTGGGACTAGCCTGGCCAACATGGCAAAATCCCATCTCTACTAAAGATTTAAAAAATTAGCCCAGCATGGTGGCACACACCTGTAATTCCAGATACTCAGGTGGCTGAGGCAAAAGAATCACTTGAACCCAGGAAGTAGAAGTGGCAGTGAGCCAAGATTGTACCACTGCATGCCAGTCTAGGTGACAGAGTGAGACCCTGTCTCATAAATAAATAAATAAATAAATAAATAAATAAAGTCGCACTCAGTAAGTCTGATTTTGGGCCTTAGAAAGTGTAATTGGCTCCTCCAGTGGTTTAAATACAGATCTGGGCTCAGAAAACATTGCTGCATAGTGTACAGTTACACACACACACACGGAAAACACACACACACACGCAAACACAGATACATGCAAACGTACATTACTTTCCTTAATGACTACCATCCAATAAGAACAGTCATCATTAAAAGTTCTGTTTGTAATTCTATTGTAGAAGATATACTATTTTCCTGTACTGCTAAACTTGAAAAAGTGGCCAGCCTGGCCTCACTTCCTGCTTCCTAACCCCATGGACACTTACACTGGATACAATCAGGCTTTCTCCCAACACTTTCTAGATCCATAGTCAATGAGCTCATAATCATGATCTTCTTTAGCCCTCTGCTTCTTAAACACATTTTCAGCATTTAACACTTGACCATTTCACATTCCTTTTAGGCTTATGAAGATCTGCTCTCCCTGGCACTCCCCCAGGTCTCTTCTTATCTCTCTTTGTTTTTTCTGATTCATCATATTCTTTCTGCTGCAAGTCTGTCTTCAGATATTTTGTGTTCCGTCTCCACAAATTCTCCTCGGCAGGCTTATTCAATCCCACAGACTCAACTAGCATCTCCTTGCCTGGAGGCTTCCAGATCTACTTCTCTAATCCTCATCTCTTTCCCAATCTCCATTTCTCTTTCTTTATTGTTTGCACAACTCCTTTACCTGGCTCTTCCACTATGCCTCCAAAGTAACATATTTCAAAAGGGAATTAACATTTTCTCCCATACTCACTGCCCATCTGGTGTTTCATGATTCTGTGAATGATGCTCAATCTTCTCACCTATCAAGATTCAAAGCTACAATATCATCTCCGACCAGTTCCTATTGCTAGCCTACAACATCCAAATAGACATTTTGTCCTGTTAATTCTTCTACCCAAATATCTTCAACTCAGTCTTCTTTCTATTCCTACTGTCAGACTATAAATGCTATTGTATTTCAAAAATGGGGAAGATTTTTTAAGAACTAGAGTATTCAAAGAAAGATTGTAAATGCTCAAGTTGAAACTGAACAAGCCTGGAAGGACAGGTAGGGTCTGGGAAAGTAAAAGGAGGAAGAAACCTTTTGGGAAGATCAACACAGTTAAAGGTCTAGATGCAGGAATATGTGTGGCATGAGCAAGTACAGTGAAAATTTGTTTGACAAAAGTCAAGTGTGTATATAAAGCAATCTCCAGAAGTTGCTCCCTAATGAACATGATTCCAAGTAAAAATGTCCTTGTGTAATTCCATCCTCTTTGATTTCAGTTGGCATTGTGGCTCTCTTTTTTCTACAGAATGTAGTGGAAGTGACACTGCATAATGTTCAATGCTAAAACAGAAGAAGTCTTGCAGCTTCCTCTTTGCTGTCTTAGAACACTCTCTGGGAGCCAAATAAGAAATCTTCCTGTTATGCTAGAAGTGCCAGATCTAGGCATTTCAGTAAACAATTCCAGCTGAGCTCGGCCTTCTAGTCATCTCTGTTAGGGCAAACAGACATGTGAACAAAGCCACCTTGGACCCTTTAGACCAGACCAGCCGCCACTGGGATCCTAAGAGACCTCAGTCAGTCCAAATTAGAATAGAACAATTGCCCAGCTAAGCCCTACTTGAATTCCTGATCTATAAATCAGGAGATATAATAAAATTCTTGTTGTTTCAAGCCACTTATTTTAAGGTAGTTTGTCAGGCACCAGCAGATAACCAAAACACAAAGTCACAGTTTATGGAACAGTAAAAAATAAGATTAAATATATATGATGGTTCCATATTACGGATAGTCTTGAAAACACCAAGCAAAGAGGTTCTTCTTTAATCGGAAGCCAATGAAAGTTTTTGAGCAGTAAGTAACCATAACATTGCTAGTTGGCAGAAATATACAAAATGCATAGACATTTTGGCAGAAGTACTCAAAATGCATAGATAAATGGCAAGTATTTGGCGATTTAATTTAGAAACCTAGAGTTCAAACTTGGCTATGTAATGTTGAGAAAGTTACTGGCTTGAGCATACTACCTCTAGGAAGTGTTGTAACAGTTAAATGGGTGACATACATGACAGTGCTTTGAAAATTCATTGTAAATATGCTTCAAAATAAATTCTTGTTAAACTGGTGAAGGAAAACTAGAGACATCAAAAGCAGCTAAAAAGTTGGGACAACAATCTGGATGTGGTGTGATGCATTTCTTGATTAGTTTTATGTATATGATCCCTTTACGGCCTTATTTTCTGTAACTTTCTGAATCACAATTTGTATTCTGGCCATACTAACTATGAACAGTGGATTCTAAATGCTGTACCTTGTATATTTTTCCTTGATTTTCACAGTTTAAATTAATCACTCTCTCATTGATGCCTCTACTGTGCACTGTGCTCTATGAGGATTCCATATCATATTAAACAGTAGCTGTTGGCTTATGCATTTGTCCATTTATTAGCACTACACTCTGAGCTTCTTTGATTACCTGGCACATGGTAGGGGCTTAATGAATGTTTTTTTTTTATTTGTCTATTAGCTAGAATATCAGAGACAGTAACATAAGGACTGAAATAACAGGCATCTTAAAGGAAAAAAAAAATAGAACTTCATGATTTCCTGAATTTGAAGAACAAAGACTATGAAAGGATCAGAGATGATCTTGAGGTTTCAGATGCATACAAATACAAGAACATTACTACACTAAGAGACTAGGTGAAAATAAGGATTCTGGACAGAACAGTAGAATTCTGGAAAGCTGAGATATGAATATGTTGAACTGAGAATATGGCAAAGCATCCAAATAAAAATATGGCTGAAGCAGGCAGATTACCTGAGGTCAGGAGTTTGAGATCAGCCTGGCCAACATGGTGAAACGCCATCTCTAGCAAAAATATAAAAGTTAGTTGTGCATGGTGGTGGGCATCTGTAATCCCAGCTACTTGGGAGGCTGAGGCAGAAGAATCACTTGAACCTGGGAGGTGGCAGTTGCAGTGAGCTGAGATGACACCACTGTACTCCAGCCTGGGTGACAGAGAGCGACTCGGTCTCAAATAACAAAAAAATCCAGCTAGTTGTGTACATAATGCTATCGTTGAGTTCATAAAACAGTAGTCAACCTATTTTAGTTGCAGTGCTTACATCAGTGATGATATTCAGTATCTCCTTGATAAAAGGTTTTTCTCCAAAGGGTAGTGTAGGGAGATAAGAAGAAGTCCATCCTTAAGATTCAAGAGAAAGAAAGACGTTATAGAGAGAAATTGAAATGAGTAGGCATTAATAAAGCTATCCATGGCAATGTCACAGAAGCCAGCAGCTGCTGCCTGCTAGGCAGGAGTGTGTTCTGCAAAGCATTCCATGTCCAAATCTAAGTTCAAATTCAGAAGTCTGCCTTTCCCCTCCTTGCCCCGTTAATGAAACTATCATCTATTCAACACTTTAATGGAAATTTAGATATTCTCAATTCTTTTAACCCTGATATTCTATCAACAAATGTTATGAAGCTATCTCTGAAATATAATTCTTACCCTGTTTAACCTACTACCACCATGTTTCATGATGCAACTGCCCCTTAGCTGACTGTATCCAATATTAGTCCCCATGAGCTAACCTTCCCACTGCCAGAACAACTGTTCTAAACCACAAATCACACCAAGAAGTGCCCTGTAGAGAATCCCTCAATTATTCCTCATTCCTAGCAACATATCCCGCTGCCTCTATGATATGGGCACTGGCATCTACTTCTTCACTTCTTTTCTGATTCTTTCCCACAGGCAGCCCATGTTGAAGCCATAGGGAATTACATACAGGTATTTCAAATACAGCATGCCTAAAAGGGAATTCTGTATTTTCAAGCCCTCAAGTTCTGCCAGGATTCTCTGTCTCAGAAATGTTACCACAAGGCAGAAACCTGGTAGTCATATTTAATTACTTTCTTTTCCTGGTTCTCACATCCCAAATTCACCTAATTCTCTTCAACCTCAATGTCATCACCCCCTCTACCCTACCACAATTCATCTGTCATCATGAAGAGTCTCTTCAGTTCCGCTTACCTCCTCCAATCCATTCTCTAGACCAGGCGTCCCCAAACTACGGCCCGCGGGCCGCATGCGGCCCCCTGAGGCCATTTATCTGGCCCCCCGCCACACTTCAGGAAGGGGCACCTCTTTCATTGGTGGTCAGTGAGAGGAGCACAGTATGTGGCGGCCCTCCAACGGTCTGAGGGACAGTGAACTGGCCCCCTGTGTAAAAAGTTTGGGGACACCTGCTCTAGACCACAGAGTTGTGTTTCTAAACACACATTTGAACAGAGTTAGAATTACAGCGAGGTTAGAGTTCATATTTGGGTTAGGATTTAACACTTTCAGAGGGTTCTCATTGTTAAAATAAATTTCTAACATGCCTTTCAAGGCCCTCCCTAATTATCCTCTGGCTAACTTGGAATATACTTGCATGAATGAAATCCTATCTCACTCATCTTCCTTCCCTCCACCAATTTGTACCCATTTATCATTCACTGAATGGTTGTGTCCCTCAAAAATTCATTTGTTGAAGCCCCCAATGTGATGGCATTTGGAACCGGGGCCTTTGAAATGTAATTATTTTTACATGAGGTCATGAGGATAGGGACCCCACAATGAGATTAGTGTCCTTGTAAGAAGAAGAGACACCAGAGTGTGCCCTCTCTCTCTTTCCCCCTTTTTTTTTTCTCTTTCTCTTTTTCTCTGCCATGTAAAGGCAGAGTGTGTCTGCAAGCCAGGAAGAGAGTCCTCACTGGCAACTAAATTTGCTGGCACCCTGATGTTGGACTTCCTAGCCTCCATTACTGTGAGAAATAAATACTGTCTGTTGTTTAAGCAACCTGGTCTATTAAATTACAGCAGTCCGAGCTACGACACCATTGCAGTTCTGAGTTTGTCACTTCCTCAGAGCCCTTCTCTATGTCCCATAACTAGATCAGGACTCCTACTATGCATTCCTATAGCACCCTACACGTTTTCCCATAAGATATTTCATTACAGTTTATTCTGTAGACTTGTTTAATACCTATCTTTTCTGCAGGAATCCTCTTGCCTTAGATTCCCAAATCCCATCACAGTGCCTGAGACATAGTAGATATAAAATACATATTTAGTAAGTGAACCACCTGATTGAACCATGATGCCATGATTTTGCATATTCCTCTTTACTTCCTAGAGTGCCAACCCAACAAATCCTCACCCATCAAGATTGATCTTCTCTTTTTGGGGATCCATCTTAATATTCTCAGGCAAAGCTGGAAGACTTATTTCTGTTTTCCGATAGAAAGACTTCTATCACAAATCTTTTTCACATTATTTATCTCTCATGCATGCCCTCTAAATTATGAGCAACTTGAAGGCAATTGTCATTTGAAGCATCCTTCTATCCTCACTTCCTATGATTCAGTACATGGTTGCTGAATGAATAAGAAATGATTCACATGAGAAAGAGGTAGGTTAAGTAATATTGAGAAATGATGATATCCTAACTATTCAGTGATACAAGCTCTTCATTGTCTTACTTGAAAGAAATTATAAACATAGAAGAAATAATATTTTCTTTTTTTAAAAAGAGATGTAGAAAATAAGAGAGTATACGTAATAATCTTACCTTAGGAAGATACCTTCAGTTAATAGTGAGACTGCTCAGCAAGTTTCTTATTATTCCCTACAGTACATTTTTTGCCCATTCTTCATTTTTAAAAACAAAGAGTAGAGATTCCTCAATTTTTTTCCTTTGAGAAGTTCATGTAAAACATTAAAGACCCTACAATTTTCATTTGTATGAGAAATTCATCCAAAACATTAAAGAGCCTACAATTTTAAATTGTATCAAGAGTTCCCACTCTGATTTCTTAAACAGTTCTTTTTCTATTATATTTATAATTCTTCTAATTACCACTGCCATTTTCTGGCTTTACTTTTTGCAAATATTTTGGAGACAAAGTCTTTAGAAGGAAAAGATTTAAGTTCAAAGAATTGGTGAACTGTTCTATTTCAGACCTCTGCCATTGATGGGTCACAAGACATTGATGGAACCACTTTATGTCTCTGGAATAACTCCACTATCTCTCACGTGAAGTGTGGCCATCAGGACTGTAAAAACAGAGCAAATGGTCTCCTAAATCTTTTCTCGCTCCCTGCTCCTGCCATGAGCTTTCATTGCTGGTGAGGCTTTATCCAGACAGTTTCTCCAGTTTGAAGAACATTTTGTATTATTTGAGACCGTTATAAATGGCTTACATTGATTTCCCATATTTTTACTCATCTTTCCTTCTCATGAGACTCTGTGCTTCCCTTAAAACTGCTTTTCCCATGAAATGTTCATAATGTAAGCCATCTTAAAAGTGTATTCAACCATCTTAATGTGTAAAATTTAGTGGCATTTAGTACATTCACAGTGCTGTGCAACCGTAACCATTAGCTAGTTCCAGAACATTGTCAACATCCTCAATGGAGACCTTGCCCCAATTAGGCAATTATTCCCAATTATCCCCTTCCACCAGCACCTCCCCACCACTAACATGTTTTCTGTCTCTGTGCATGTTTAGCTATTCTGGATACTTCATGTAAATTGAATTATATAGTGTCTTACCTTTTGTGTCTGGCTTCCTTCACTTAACATTTTCGAGGTTCATCCATGCTGTAGCATATGTATCCACCTTATTCCTTTCTATGGCTGAATAAAGTCCCATTGTATGGATATGCCACACTTTGTTTATTCATTCATCTATTGATGGCATTTGGGTCATATTTACCTTTTTGTCTGCTGTAAGTAGTGCTGCTGTTAACGTGTCAGCTCCTTAAAACTGGAATTATATATCTTGATATCTTCCGTACCTGGGTAATGGTGACAAAAGTCCCGTTGATAATGATACAAACTAAGGTTCTAATAATATCCAAAGCCAAGTACATACACATGCATATACACAAATCCTGTTTCTTCTCCTGTCTTCCTCATTCCAAGTAACGATACCAACACCCACTTACTAGTCTAAGCTAGAACACTCACCTCCGCTTTCCACGTTTAATTGATCACCAAGTCCTATGAATTCCATGTCCTAAACATCTCTCTTCCTCTCTCTATCTTTACTGCTTCAGCTTTAGGTTAGGGCCTCACCATCCCTTGGCCTGCAATCTTACAATATCCTTCTAAGTGCCTGCCGAGTCTCTGAACTCTGCACTGCTGCTTGGTTATCTTACTAAAACATAAATCAGTTGGCGTCATTCTCCCACATAAAACCCTCCAGTGGTTCTTCATGAACAATATAGTAAAGGAAGATTCCTCAATATGGCACAAGGTGTCCTCCATTATTTTTCTCTATCACATCAGCAGCCTTATTTTCCCACCGCTCTTTAATCATACCCCAACTGCTAACATACATACTGCTCTTTCCCAAACATGCCTTCTCTTTCATCCCTTTCCTCACTTAGCAAAAGTTAAATGAGTACCAACTCTGACTGTAACCATGATAGGCTTTAAGACACAGTAGTGAAGAAGACAGATTCTAGCCCTTGTGAGACTTACCTTATAGAGCAGTGACAATACTGACATTTGAGGTAAGTCTTTGTTACAGCTCTGTCCCATGTATGATAGGATGTTTAGCAGCACCCCTGGCCCTGGTCTCTTTCCACTAAATTCTCTTGCATACACCCCTGCCCCCAGGTATGACAGTCAAAGATATCTCCAGACACTGCCAAACATCCCCTGGGGGACAAAATCACCTTGAATTTAGAATCACTGTTCTAGAGGGACATTATGATAACATTAACTGTGTAAGTACAAATTACAATAAATGTCACCTCTCATTACAAATATTGTATCATCTTTCCTAGAAAGGGTTTTTCTTCCTCTTCTGTTTCAGTGAATTTCTCCAGGATTCAGTTCCAGTATTCCCTTCTCCTGGAAGCTTCCTCAACTTCCCCAAGTAGAACCAGTTACTTTTTAACTCCCTTAGACCTTTGTTAATACATTGTTCACTGCATTAAAGAAAAATATCTTTGCTTTAAAGAGCTAATGCATTATTTTGTCAGGTAAGTTACAGTAACCTCTACCCCTGAATGAATTGCCTCTACATCAAATTTTAATAAACAAGATATTTCAGTATTTGCAGTTTCGCTTTGTATATTTTTTTCCGAACCACAACAATTTTAGTTCCAGTATAAAAGAATTATGAGCCACTCCTTTTGGGGATAATTAGACAAAGAGGAAATTGGGTGATGAGAATTAAAAAAATAAGGGAAAGCAGATGGCATGACAGTAACAGAGGTTTCTGCCTTAAGGCTTTAGGAAATTAGGGAATCTGAGGAGACATCAACCAGGACCTTAAAGTGGAACTCCTGCAGTTACAAGGAAGGAGGGAAGTGGCATTTGTGTAAGAGATGCCTGATGGCACATACTTTGGGGAGTTATCTCTGGGCTTGAGGATGCAGAAGTCAACAAGTCGAAATCATGAAATCAGAAAGGCATTGCACGTTTGGTTGGAGAACCAGATTCAGGGGAAAGATCTTTTATATGTATATTATTTTGGCAAAGCAAAGCAAATTTATGGGCATTTTACTGAAATGGCAGAAGAGAAAGACCCTGAGAAATTTCAATTGAGCAAGAGATGGTAAATGGAAAGCAACTGTAACATAACCATTATTATTAATTTAAGGTTTGAAAAGTGTTAACTTATATTCTTTGTTTAGCATGCTGTCCTGATGGTTCTATTTTAGAGATAATACAAAGAAGATTCATGCAAGTTTGCATTTAATACCTCTATAACTGTATTATCCCCCTAAAATCTTAAGTACCTCAACTGCAAAATCTCCTTGTCCTCACAATTAGGGAGAATCTACTCTATTTGTAACAGTCTCCTGAGACTGAAATTTCTATCTTATTCCTCTTTCTATTCCTACATCCACACTCGGCAAATAATAAGAAATTAATCATTATTTGTTGAACATGTAATTCAACACAAGATGTGGCAGGAGGAACTGGCAAAACCGATCCTCTTCTCTCAGATGGAGATTCTGAGAGCAAAGTGGAGATTGGCATCAGGCAGAGCAGGAAAGCACTCAGCTGCAGACAACAGATGAAAGTCAGA